ATAAGAATTATTTAAAAATAAAAATAAAAGATTAATATTACAATTTATAATATGTGACAACCTTAGATAAACCTTAGATTGATTTAAAAATTAAAAAACAAATTATTTGTTTCTAATTAGTTTTGTAGTAGTATCTAAATTTGAAATGTTTAAATTGTAATTTTATATCAATAGGTATGATTTATAATACTAAAATGTATCACCAATGAAAAAAGAGACCCCCCCCCCCTAGAGAAATTGTCTGGATTCAACACTGAGTATAAACCATTTGTGAGATATTTATATAAATAGTCAATATCAGTATAAATTGGTACCAAAATTAGGTATCTACATTTTTAATCTGAATTAATAATAACAGATTTCCAACAGAAATTCCAAATTCACGTTATTGAAAATACAATTTTTTTTTTTTTTTATTAAGAACTTTCAGTATAACTATTATAGTTCAACAACTACAATATTGATAGATACAGTGATACAATAAATAATAATTGGTAATTAATAATAATGAGCATAATATGATATAATGATAAATAAGATAATGATGTCAGATAAGAGTAAACAGAACGGAATATTAGTGTATATAGTAACAGAAATAATATTAAAAGTAAATATACACTATAAAGAGTATTAGTTTGTTGAAATCTCAATAGTGTATACAGACAGCGCTATGTAACGATGACTGTTAGAACTTTGCCAAATGCTTATCGATTATTCAACTACATAGTGGGGTGGTGCGGGGAACAACACCAAACCCCATTTTATGGAGGACCGTGTACGCAGCATTTGTCGTTGACAAATTACTTTTTAATTTTTATCGTGATTTTTCATTATTAAAACACGTCAAAGTGTATCAATGTGTATTGTGGTGTAGTGAATTTGGTGAGTGCATTTSATTCATTTTATTTTGCAAACAATTCAAACTTTATAAACTATTCAGAAAACAAATGATAAATTACCGTCTTTATCGATTTGGCCACAATTTGGGCGACCACAGCATTCCGTTTTAACCCAACCTAAGTCTGTCCATACAAGAAAATCATATACTTAAGTATACTATATTTTTACTACTTTACTAGCTATCCYGGAGCAATTCTCATTCATATAGTTCATAAAATCAATAAATTACCCGGACAGTACATTATACCTATAACCGTGTAAACAACTATTGAACTTATATTTGGGCGTGACCCTGTATTGTGTCGCCCCTATGTTATCYTGTCTATCTATTTATTTTGGCTCACAAAAATCGAATAATTATTTTTCTMTAAAATTAGTGTTGCCATGGTAAAACATTGGCTACAGAAATAACGTAATGAATAACGTATAGAATGCCTAACTGATCCACCTGCGTTTATGTGGTATTTTTTTTTTTTTATAATATTTTATATATTAATTGTTTGTTATTCAAATGTAAAACAATGTATTCTTATGTTTGCAGCATATAGACTCAAAAATTACTTAACCTATTTGGCAAATATAGTAGAKATATCAGGAAAATTAGGAGAATTAACTAAATATACTAAACTCAWTCATAGGCGTGYCCAGACCTTTRACRCAGGGGGTGCAACCTGGCTAAATCCATCATTTCAAACTGTCATTATTTTAATTAATATATAAAAAAAAAATTGTTTTCCCTATTTTAGGTTGCATATAAATATATATATAATGGATGTCAGTAGGTAAATAATTAAAATAAAATCATGTTTAAATAATAAATAATAAATAATAAATATGTGTCAGTTACAAAATTTAAAAATAATTAAAGTTCTAGTCGCCGTTGTGTATTATTAAGATGTTTGAACTCTTCAATTATGTCTTCTGGATCTAATTCAGATACTAATTTCTGTTCAACAAATACTAACATCATTGACTCCAATCGATCTTGAGTCATACAACTTCTCAGCTTTCTTTTTACCAGACTTAATTTTGAAAAAGACCTCTCACAAGAGCAGCTTGTGACTGGCATTGTTACAAAATGAGTTAATATTATGTAAATATTTTGAAAACTATTACATAAATTATTATTAGACAGATTATTTAACCACTGATAAATAGTTTTGCTAGTTTTACCAATTTCAAATTCTGGTAATGATTTTAACAACCTGAGTTCTGCTTCAAGTTCACTGTCATTTAAGTTAAACCTATTGGAAAATAATGTTAAGTCATGTTCATGCAGGTTAAACTGTAATAAACGTCCAATTGCACTTATTAGTAAAAGTGTTTCTTGACTAAAACGTTCTTCTAATCCGTTTAAAAGATCATCTAAAACTGTGTAGTACACAAAACATTTCATTTCTGTTTTTTTGTCAGAAGTAAAATGTTGAGTATTGTTGCTGTCAATTCGACTAGAAATTTTTCTTTGTTTTACGTTTGGTATCTCTATTTTTTGTGAACTACACATGTCCAAAACTTTGTCAAATAATGTTGAATAGTTATCTTCATCAGTTCTTAAGTCAGTTAATGATTTCTTTAGTGCTTCAACAATTGATACGGCTGCTAAGAGGTCTAGGTCTGGTGAWTGCAACTTTGCGCTAACTATGCGAATTTGAATCAGAATAGGTTTTAAAACAGTTAAAGCAAATATAAAATTGAAACTTTTTAGATTTTGGATAAGTCCATTTGCTTTTAATCTCACTTCAGCTAATTTTGTAGTCTTATATATTTCTGAAAGACACTGTAGTAAAGAATCAAAATTATGATCAATTGCTTCAATAGCTTCTGATCTGCACGCCCATCTGGTTGTCGATAACGATTTTAATGTTTTTAATTTATTATTTGTTTGTTGAGATATTTTTTCTAATACAGAATGTCGAATTGGACTTCCTTCAACAAAACTAAAAATCATTTGAATTATTAAGTTATTATCACGTMATCATGTTATCAATTGTCCCTAAATTTGGTATGGTGCAATTATTGTTATGATAGGACTAATGCATTTGAGCCACTTTTGATTTTGATGCTATCACTTATCAAATAAATAATAATATCAAGTCTCAATAGAGACTAGAGTGGTTATATATATATCTAAAATTCTAAAATTTTAAATGTTAAATCCAAGGAGCCTGTGATGGGTCCCAACCATGAACCAAGATATACTAAGGAATATCTTAGTTCCTGCCACCTGAAATCGCAGGGGGTGCAGGTGCATACCCTGCACCCCCCCTGGACACGCCTATGAACTCAATAATTAATCTCTATCAAATTATATCCAAGTGAGCTACACTGTTGCTAATTTTCATTCAGCGGTGTTGCCATAGGAAGGCAGTTGGTCATGCCCCACTCCTTCCCTTATTATAAATTCCTCGCTATATCACAGTTCCATATTATCTTATTGTTGTTAATTTCTTTCTTGACAAGGTCGGGTTACTTACCTAGCAGTAAATTATAACCATTAATTAAGAAGCAGACATATACCACCGACTGTTATAAAAATGACGATGCAAAGACATTTTTAAGTCTATTGAYAAATAGACTGAACCTTTTATCCAAGAGTCTTGTAAATGGCGGACTAACTAATCAGGGGACTAACGATTTGGCCATAAGTATGCAAAACAAAATAATGATGATAAAAAACCTTTGTTATTTGAAAAATATTATCAACATTTTATGTAGATATTTAAAATTACACAAAATATTGTATATGATACTATCTATAAAGATACAGTGTACACATTTTAATATAATACCAATAATATATTAAAATTTACTCTTAGAGTAATTCCTTTTTTACAAAACTAGGTTTTTTTTCATAACTTCACTAGTTTCCCCGATTCTGTGGATTAAAATATCGTCATMTATAGAAGCTGATGTTCGCTTTTCCACGGACATCAACATAAATGCTTCCTAATTCTCATTAGTTAGAGTATTTCGTAATCGATTTTTTATGAATTTTAGTGTTGAAAATTACCTTTCACGTGCTACTTGTGTTACCGGTAGAGTTAAAAGATAATTATAAACCAAAGATAAATTTGTATACGCATTACTATACAAATTGTATTTGACTAATAACTTTAAACAGCAACAAGCACAACTTTTGCATGTTTTAAGGTCATATTCAATCCGGCAGTTTCTTGATATTCATCATCTAAATCGAAATTATCAAGATCATATTCTTCTTCAACTGATTTTTAAGTTATCCCAATTATTAACAAAACTTACTAATTCTTCTCTTAATTTTTGATGGAATTCTTCTAAATTATCATTGACTGTAAATTGGAAAAATTTTTTAGAGAGATCTTTCAAGGCTGTTTTTGGTAAACCATGTTTAAAACTATTGAAGTTGATATAATAGTAAATCTAAATAATTGTTTGCTCTTGCTCTTATGTCAGGTTTAAATTACTTTGAACAACTTTAGTGAAAGCAATTATCAAGTCTACATACATAGAAATTTTTGGATCTCCAAATATTTCAAAAATTCTCTCAACAGCAGTCTGTTTTGATGACCATCTAATTTCTCCAATGGTTTGAAGACGCTTATTTCGACTGTTATCTGAATTTGTCTTGCTAACTTTACTCCAAATGTCCATCCTCAAATATGATTCTTTGAAAAATACTGCACAACTATTTAATAAAGTAAACAATGATGCTACTTGGACAGGATTTTTTGTTGCATTGCAAATAACAAGATTTAAAACGTGACTATGACACCAAACATGAACTTGTTCAGGTGATAATTTACTTAAATGTGAAATGAAACCATTATATACTCCTCGCATATTGGACGCTCCATCAGTAGAATTTCCTTTACATTTCGTTAAATCCAAGCCAACAGATATCAATTCCTCTTTTAACAGTTGAGCCATACCTTTACCACTTGAATTATGAACACACAATAAATAATAATAAATTATCAACACTTCAATAAATATTGAACATTGATCCATTACTGAAAAATGTTTGGGTAGTATCAATAAGAATAGAAAAGAATGAAGCATTTTGGACTTTGGTAGCAATTGTACGTTTAATATTTGATGCTATTTCATTTATAACGACTTGAACAGAATTTTTGGATAAAAAGTTCAAAAGCTTCCACGGCCTCTCTAATTTTGTTTTTGTTTCTTTTAACTTTTATTGATGATAGTATTGAAGTGTTCGCAAATGATAGGATCATATTTACTGAGCAATATCATTATTTCCAATGGTCAAAATTAAGATCGTTCAAAGAGTATGCTGCTTCATTTCTTTTACCTCTATAGCTTAAACCTTTTTTTCCGATAAACTTTATAACAGCGATAATTCTTTCAAAAATKTGCCGATTTTTTATATTTTGTAAATTTGAAAGTAATAGTGAACTATATCTTTGTTTTCAGTTTTTAAGAAATAAGATTCGGAAGAGCGTGAATGAACTATGCTACTCTCATGCTCTTTGATTCGTTAACTAATATGTTTCCAATCAAATACCCCCTTAGTAAATGAATTCGATTCAGAAGCAAAAGCCAAACAAACTGAACAAAATAGTTGTTTTGATGATTTATCAATATTAACCACACACGATTTGTTCCGTTTTCTCAAAGAAAAATCTTATTTGAATTGAATGGGAGGCTGGGTATTTCGGTTGACAAGGGTGGTACTTKAAGAAATGAGATAAAACAGTTGAACTTGGCTTTTTGAACTTGTTAAATACTACAAGAAGACTTTTAGATGTCGAACATAGAACTTCTAAAAAAAGTACGAGTTTCATATAATCATATCAAGTTTATATGTTCACGTAATATAAGTAATGTTATTAAACAAAAAATTGCCAAAATACCTAGCTAAATATATCAAAATAATATTTTTATAAATACAAGAATAATAAATAATAATTAATGACATATATTAGTTGTTAATTAATTTAAWTCTCTTACCGCCATATCACGCCACTACGACGGGTTAATATTACATACTAATTTAGATTACGCATTTATTTTTTGTAATTAAAATGTATCACTCGTTTGATGACTATGGTGGTAGCTACTTACCAGAATTAGAAACAGCTACATCATCATTTTCAGATATTGATATGTTTTCAATATTTTCATGGATGGAAGAATCTATTAATATTTTCAAAGACAATCATATGAAAATCATAAATAAGAAAAAGAAACCAATAAACATGACTAAATTATTTAAATTTACTACATAATGTAGGTATACATGCATACCTGAGCTTAGTTCTTCAGTTTTAACAAAATTTTGTTTTTCATGATATGCTAAATTAAAAAATTAATT